ATGAGCTTTTAAAGTTTGCAAATGTTGTCCGGCCTCTCACACTGACTCGATCCATTGTGCGACGCCTGATGCGATGCGTCGTGCTGAGGAAAAACGTAGTAAGAGCATTCGGAATTTTCGCGATTCAAATTTTCTCACAGAAAATATTTATAATTGAAGAAAGTTATGAATATCTGTGTTTGAACTTTTGGGACACTTAAGATCAAATTAGGTACGAGGAAAATTCTGTGAAAAATAGGAGGAAAAATATTTACAAATTTTCCCGAAAATTAGTGATTTTTTCGCTCTCGCTATTTTTGAACTCGTAGCAATTCCTGACAATTTACAGAATGGCCCGAGTTGAAAGGTCAGAGCCTTTCAATCATTATTGAACAATTTCCGAAGTGAGCAAGATGGCACGATCTCAAGGAGTTGGAAATGCCTGGAAGAGTCGATAACATTTTCTCAGTTTTAGGGCCGACCCTGAATTTTCTCGACTCCACGATTTTCTTGCTCACTGAAGGTCTAAATTTTACGGAGTGCATTGTGGCCTGGTTATTTTCGGTCTCTTCTTTTGGTTTATTACCGGCCTAAATAAGTATGGGGCTGAAGACTGACTTTTGCGCAAATTTTTCCGTTTTTGACCGCAAACCCTCATTTTCGCCAAAATCGGCCAGTATTAGACCCGAAAAGAAGTTGGAGATTACCAAATTATGGTACATTCCGTAAATTATAGACCTTCCAAGAGCAAATATCGTGGAGTTGAGGAAATTCAGCGAGGGTGGGTTCAAAAACAACCTATATCGATACCTCTCCTTTGTGCATGGTTCGATCTGCCATTTTTGCCGTTGTGTCTGATCTCTAAGAATCTGAGGAGTGGGATGGGATGCGGTACTTGAGGGGGGGGGGGATTCGGCATATTTTTGCGAACAGAAATGTCGCTCAATTATTTAGTAGAATCTCTTGTATTCAGGGTTATTCAAAAGTCACGCACTACCGGCCATAACTTTAATTCTAATTAAGATATCGACTTGCGGTTTGTGAGTTTTTTCCTCATATCGAGGGGAAAACTTTTTTAGGTGCTTTCCAGTTTTTGATCCCCTCGTGGGAGGAGGCGGGGGGGGGGGACTCAAAAATTTCAGGGGCTACCCCCCTCATGGCCAGTGGTGCGTAACTCTTGAATAACCATGTATATTTGCTGGAGACCGGCCACGTGGAATTCTTGGAGGAGGAAAAACCTTCATTCGCTTTTGACAGGGGTCGACACTAGAATGCGGCGACATGATCTCTGACCAAGTTCCTTTGGAACGAGGAGCCAGTTATTGATTGGCTGAAATTGCGAGATGAACATCCTAGACAAATCGCAACATTGCGGCGACAAACTTTCGTGTTGGAGTCTTTGGAAGACGATAGCTTCTTTTTTTCATTGGGGGGGGGGGGNGGAGAGGTTTGAAATATACGATTTTATCAGAGTGCAAAGTCGTTTTCGCGAAATAAAGGAACGTATGGAATTGTCTCTTTGAATTACGTAACGCTGATACAGGAGGTGTGAAGGGGTCTTCGCCAGCATTACGCATAGAGAAAAAAAAGGAGGTGTTTGCATTTCGGGCATCTTGGAATTTTTTTGATGACGTAGGTCGGTACAGCGACGTTTATCATCGATTTTCTTGGAAATGGTGTAGTTCATGGAAGAAAGTCATTCTATAAAAAGTGCTTGAAATTATATTATGAGTTGATTTAAGTAAAAAAATCGGACATTATGGTCCGTTTTTCATATTTCGAATTTCGGATTTCGCTGGCCAGGTTGTACCCACCTCCGTCACAGGGTAAACAAACCTCAAGATGCAAACACCTCTCCTTTTTTTTCCTCTGTGAGCATTACGTGACGTTACACTGGGATGAACGAGTATCGAGAAAAGCGTCACGTGATGATTATGAAGGATTTCTGAATCGTTTTTTATCTCTTGTTTCGACGAATTTTCATGAATCGAAGCTTAAAACCAATGATCTTACGAAGCCGAAAACTGACACCATGCTGTTCTTCGCTACGCCCCCCCCCCCCCCCCCGAAACCAAGACACTATATTATTGCTTTGTTAGCTGCAACGCTTTTCCTTTACCTCCTCCTACCAACAACCCAAATCAGATAAAATAATCTCTCAAATCTGTTGAATTAATTTATGGTGTTTTTGAGTATCTATGTTTTAAAGAGCGGTAGGGGGTTTTACATGTAATTATCAAGACGGAACCAGCACATGTTTAAGGAGCGTTACAAGAGAATGAGGGGTATAGAAAAAACTGTAAAATTAGCATTATGTGGTTTAGGAATGATCCCTTACACATCCACACATCAAATACCGCAAGCCTGCACGTTTACGGACTGCGATAGAAGATTATCTGTCTCTAGCAGAGCATTCAGACCAAGGGTGCAGAAAGTTCATCAGTGTAAACTTTCACCAGCATCACGCAAATTTTCCCTACACAATATTACAGCGCAGTTGAAGTAATTTTGACAAAAACTCAGTGCGGTCAAAGTAAGTCTGACAAAAAATCAGCGTGGTTGAAGTAAATTTGACAAAAGTTAAGCATGATTGAAGTAATTTTAACAAAAGATCAACGCTGTCGAAGTAATTTTAACAAATAATCAGCAAGGCTACCGCCAAAGTGTGCACCGTGTTTCGCAGTACTCACCATTCACCCGCAATATATATATCTCAAGCAACATCGGCAACATCCTCAAGCCAATCTTAAGACTTGAAAGAAGGGCAATAAAGACTATCCTAAACCTACCCCAGACCTATCCATCGGCAGAATTATACGACTTGTTGAATGTTAAAGGTTTCCATGAACTTTACCAAAGGGAGCTGAAAAGATTAACACCGCTTTTCCAATCCGAGCCACTCCCTCAAAGAGAAATAAAATATGAGATCAGAAATCCGAGCCAAGTAATAGTACAGCAACCAAGACTCGAAGTCTCAAAAAGAAATGTGGGGTATACAGTCAAGTCAATCATCTAAGTTACCAAATCAATCCTAGGGTAAGCTCACCTATAGCAAATAATAAATTGTATTTTATTTTACAAAACAGTTGGATTGCGCTTGGCAGGGGGGGGGCTGGAGCGTCCCAGTGTTGCTAGATTTTGGAAAAGTGATTCTGGCTAAGTCTCAAGTTGCACAATCATGGCGACACTGAGATTCTCTTGGTTCCTCCTTGCAATGTGCAATCCAAGTGTTTTGTACTCATTTCTGTAACATATATTGTTGTGTTTGGTATGTGAAAGCAGAGGAAATAGGAACGAGGGCCTTGCCAACCTGTGAATCTATTTAGCTAATGTAATTAGATAATGTAATTAGTTGTTCTTTTTTATATAAAAAAAAATGGATACAAATTTCTATATTGTATTCAACATTGTGTTTGCTTAAAATTTAAACTTAAATTAAATGTATGTACCTATTTATAACAGCCTCATCCACACGAGTCACCTCCTGGATGAGGGAAGTTGATTATGTATTTTTATTGTATTGTGTAAATTGAAGAATTAATAAATTGAATTGAATTGAATTGAATATCTCGCCGAATCGTGAACATTCTACACCCCTGATTCAGATTAAAGACAAGATTTAAGATGGTAGATTTTGACACTCCCTCAAAAACTGGTAGGAAAGTAATCTTGTTGTGTGTGAATTCTAACTAATTGCTTCAAAGGTATTCCTGACCATCTACGTACGTATGACTTTTGATCAAGATTTGAGATCTTGTGCATTCCGGGGAGAGGGAAGGGGCAAGAAAGTTAGAAAGCTGACACCAGGGGATCAGTTTTCCATGACACTGGACCCCCCCCCCCCCTTATCATGGTCAAATGAAAAGGAAGCCTCAAACGTGAGATTTGAAATTCTCATCAAAATTTTAGAACTGATCGGTAAAAATCGGAAGAATGGAAAATTCCATTAGAAATTGAACTACTTACTTCAAAATTCAACCTACGTTTTATTTCTCAGTGAAAATCACAGCTTACTGAAGAAAGGGGTCACGGCCCCCTCCATTCACAATAACCTGCTACATTGCTGAACTACACTGGCATCAAATTGGTGTAGCAGTTGGATGGAAAAGTTGAAACAAAATCTTCTGACGGACATTGCAAAGGCTGCACTTTTGCGAACCTGAGGCTGATGTACCTGAACGCCAATATCCAGTGTTACAACAATATCACACAGCGTTGGTGATTGAATCAAATTTTTTGGCGTCCAACTTTCAATCCACTTTTGTTGTGTGAAAAGTCTGACTGTCAGAGTTGGGCTTAAGGTGATTCGTCAAGCTCGAGTGACAAGGTTGAACTGGCATGCAATAAATCACATCCATTAGGTCAAAAATCTCGGCAGATTTTGAAATTTTAGCAAACAAAAGGATGATAGCCCCTGCGCAGGAGCCTAAAGAATCATTCTAGACTGAAATTGGCAAAATTCAGAGAAATGAAAGCAGAATGGTGTTAGGAAAAAAACCTTGCATTCGATACAGAAATCAGTTGCTGTATCGAATGCGAGGTTATTTCCTAATACAATTCAGCTTTCATTTCTCTGAATTTTTCCAACTTATGGGTTGAGAATGATTCTGTAGGCTTAGGCGCAGAGACTATTGTCCTTTTTCTTGCTAAAAATTCAAAATCTACAAGGGTTTTTGACAGATGGATGTAATATACAACATGCTAGTTCGACCGTGGCACTTGAGCTTGACGAATCACCTTGAGATGTAATATTTTGAAAGATTTATTACTTCTTCAGTTATTCCTAATATTTACCCAAAATGTTCTGATAAGAAATATTGCTGGGTTTATAGTTAAAATGGACGGAGAGAATGCATTAATGAGATATTGTGATCGAGATACAGAGTTTTTGAGTTTCACCATTGATATATATTAATAAGTATGGCACCAAGTTTGGCACGGAGGCAAAGGGCTCCTGTACTTATATTCCTTTTTTGCATGGAAAAATTAGTTTGCAAAATAAAATGCACAGGGAAACATACCTCCTTTACATGGTGTCCGGTGAGTGCTGTGTTGAGCACGATACCCAGTGATCATCTCATAGTCTCCACTGTCCCTACGAACTGGGAAAGATATTTCAATTATGTGATCACACCGCTGCATTAGCATGAGAATACCTTTAACTTTCTTCTTCTTGTCTTCAATCGACATTTTGCCCTTAAGCTCGTCAACCAATTTGTCTTCAGCTATTTGACAGGCTCTGTGGAAAAAATATTCCACCATGTCGAAGAACCTGGGGTTCTCGGCTTCTGACACATCTTTTAGGTGGTCGGGTATAGCATGAATATCCCTCTGGATGCTGGAATGAGTAAGAACTGGGCTTACTCGAAGGAGAGCACTAACGTCTAAAGGTCCTTTCGCCGGTGCGAGACCGGCAACACTTCTCGCTAAATTCTTTAGGCAGATCATTTTAGGGCTGACAATTTAATAAAACGCAAACAAGGAAGAAGCTACAGCACACTGATAAGAACAAGTGAAGTTCCAAAAGTTCAATCACGCATTTCAAAAAATCGGCACAATACTCAACTTACAAACGGTGAACGATAGACACGGGATAGAAAACCGACAGAAACAAAATAATAACTGTCACCGACGAGGACTGGCAGCGGTTTTCTATTTCTAGTGTCTACGATCGCGCACTATGAATCTAGTGATTAGACACAATCGAATCCCGCCGTTTTACAACACTTACAGCTTCGAACTCACTTTTAAGACACGAAAACGCGAAAATTGCGATGCAAATAGGCGAACCTGAGTACGTACGTAGCTCGACTCGAGGCATGCATCACATTACAACATCACAAAATCACGAGTAAATAGTAAGTACACAGCTTCAAAAGTGGAAACGTTCGCGAATCGCGATAACGGAGCGGAAAAGCAATGAGGAAGGGAAGGGGAAGGGAAGGGGTAGGTGAAGTGATGAAGGAGGGCCGTTCGCCATCTTGAAAATTTCTTGTGACGTAAAACCTCTGGTAAGCCTGTCAGCCAATGAGAATCAGGAACGACCGCCCAAGAGCAACGCTGCCAGGTCGATAAACACCTTCTAATTAAAGTTAATGTTTGGTCAAAAACCATTTGCGCTTATTTCGGAATAGCAATAATTAATTTAATTACTGCGTAGGGAAAGGGTATGAAAAAATTGGTAGCTTTCCACCGAGAACCGTGGTTGCCCACTTTTCCGCCATGATCCGCCCTCTTGAGTTAGAGTCCCTTTATACCCAGAGTTAAGACAACTCACTTTTGGTTCGGCTGAAAGTGGCCTAAAAAAAAATCCAATTCTGATTGGTTCTCGCTCATGGAGGCCGAAACGAGTGCACCAAGACGGCGGTACCTCGAATGTGAAAAAGAATAATGAAAATATCACCTAATTGTGGTTTATCAAGAGTAAATTGTCATTTCCATCGGTCCAAAATGAAAAGAGAATAAGAAATTATTCACAAACCAATCTCATTTTCTTTTTAATTAATCAATTTGTTGATGTTGTTGTTTTTGTGTGACAGACATCGCAGGATTCCTGATCCTTATCCCTCAATATCGTTCGTTTGGGTGCACTCGTTTCGGCCTCCATGGCCAGCCAAGGCCGGCTGTCAGTCAGCTGATAATCGAGTTGTCTTAACTCTGGGTATAAAGGGACTCTATCTTGAGTAATCAGGAGGAGGCAGGAGGACCTCTCTGGGAGGACCCTGTAGATAGATAGCATGCATGCATTTAATTCTAGGTTAAGATTTTGTTTACTTGTAGTCTTTCACTGCTGAGTTCTCAAATTTTGTCCTGTAACATGATTATTGTTCAGTGTTGCTTATTCGGCTCTAAAATTGCCGAAAGTGTAAACTAATCGCATTGAATGCTTATGGTATCAACGAACTTGGATTTTAGTTCTTTCTTTTATATTTTTTTATTGGTTTCATAAGAACAACATACTCCGCAATTAAAATTAGTTCGTTCGCAGGAATGACTATCACACAGAACATACCTGCTTAGATTCAAGCAATTTTCTATACCGCTGATTAATTTTTGTCTAGTTTAGAGTGGAAACGTCACCCCTGAACTTCAAAATGAATCGGCAAGCGCTGAGAGTGCCTGTTCATTTCCTTGCACTTCCTTTTCCATTTAATTACCTGGATGGAGATCATGACAAACCAGATTTCAAAGGAAGTATCACAGCTGAAGAGTATGCCGAAATTGATCCAAAGCAGAAAACTGGAATAGAGGGATTGAAGAGAATGTGGGAGTTTGAGTAAGTAAATTGAGGTTTCATTTTATCATGACTGTTTAATTTGGGCTGTTGTGAAAGGCAGACAAGTTGATTACATTTTGGACCCTAGCCAATTCAATTGAAAGAGCTCATATTAAATTATCAATGAATTGACGAAAAAAACTCAGGTAAAACTGGTTTGGTGGAAATGGATCAGTTCTGCCAGTCACAGAATAGAATTGCAATGGTTGAAACTTACGGGATAGCAATAAAAGAAAAAATGTATCCAAACATCAAGTTTCCAAGTCCATTACTGAGAGAGACATAACCCTTCAAAGAGCAGGGTGTATGATGCTATCTACTGCAGCATTACATCGTCACCTTCCAGGCAAAGTATCACAAGCGCCATGCGACGTTTAAAAATTTCCGCCGCCATTTTATTTTTTTACAGAGAAATTATTCAACGAAGCTGTCCGAAAATTTCACAGAATTTTGTTTGTGCTGCGGATAAAATTTAGTGAAATTTCCAAACAGATTCAACCAACAATTTCTCAGTAAAGAACTAAAATGGCGGCGGAAATTTTGAAACGTCGTATGGCGCTTGTGATACTTTGCCTGGAAGGTGACGACATACAATGGTCTCTTTGATCTTTGATTCGTCAATTTTTGACACTTGTTTGCACTGGTTGCTTGACTAGAAACACGGATGAAACTAGGGTGGAATCCTTTTGTTGTTTTTAACTTTGTTGTTGTTGTTGATAGCAGAAAGCATTGTATGCATCAACGTTGTAGGTGCCATGCGCTGAGGGCTATGAATGACATCAAATACTATTTTCTTAAGGGCAATAATACTGTTAATATTGAACAAGGAAATTTGGTATTTTGAACTTATCTTATTATTCTTTGCTGATCTGTCATTTATAATCATCCAAACCCAATTATGCGACTAGCGCAACTGACTCGTTCTAGAACCTAAGCAGTTTGTTGGGTGAGTGTATCTGTTTGAACTCAGCCTTGGTGCTAGTTAAATAATCAGCAAGGTATCATGTAGTCTACAATTGTCATATCGATTGCCAAACCGTGGAACTATGTATCCTCACCTTGCATACTCATTACTAAGTGCAAATGAAAGTGGAAGATATTATGATTTGTACAATATTGTTGGATGACATCAGATATTGCGTTTTTAGAGGAGCAGTGCCTCTGTTATTACTGGACACAGATATCCGAAGCATCACCCGAATGAAATCCATAAGGATTTTGCTTATATGCACCTTTTCATAATTGTATCATATTGTCACTGTGAAATAGAATTCTTATAGAAGCATCTATATTGTGTCCACATCAATGCATTAACTAATTAAATCTCCGGTCGAGGCAACAATTTCTGCAGGGTGCAGAGCAGTGACTGTCAGGAGTTGTGCGCCACAGTGGCCAGAGAAAGCCCACTTACCAGACAGTTGGAAACTATAAATCTTGTCATGTTGCAGCGAACTCCATGGATACAGTGATGAAGTGAGAGCATCATTACATGGCGGATTTTATACTGGTATACTTGGTGGAATGATAATGGGAGCCTCAAGGGGTAAAAATGATTTTTCCAAGTGGATGCGAACTAATTTGGCTAGCAAATTTATTAATGAAGCAGATGCCAAGGTAGGTAAATAAATAATTAAGTGAATGATAATTATGTAGTCCTTTTATTGGCCCTTCTTTTTCTCCGGTACTTTTTTTTTGTCAGTATTTTTAAGGGAATCAGTTTCTTACCTAGCATGGGTTTTTGGAACCAATTGTTCTATTTTTAGAACATGGATTCCAGAGTCAGAATCATGCTTCAGAAAATCAAATTAAAAAGAAAAATGCTTGTGCTTTTGTTGCCTGTGTTTACACTATTCTGAGTCTTAAATTTCAAAAGTATTCAAATTTAAAGAAATTTGTACATCTTGATGGAGGGTCACAATGCTTTCGCTGAATTTTAGATGCATTTAGTTTATTTGCCTAAGCCTTGGTTTTCGGATCAAAACCCCCAAATATCAACATTTAAAGCAAAATTATAAGTTGAGTAATGAGCTTATAATCCATTCACCAAAAAATCACTCAATAGAAAAACAAATTGAAAAAAAACTGGCGCTTCGCTTCGCTCCGCGCCGGTTTTTGGGGGGCTTCGCCCCCCCAAGCCCAGTGGGGGAGGGGTACATAAGACGCATTTACTCGTGTTGAACACATTTTTTGGGAAAGCCCTGTCAACACCACTGGCAGAAATTCACGAAACTTTGCGCGAAAGTTAAGTTCCGTAAACCTATCTCTGTGTTGACAAGGCCTTCCATTCATAAGAAATGAACGAAAAAATTATGAAAGAACAAACATAAATGTGGTCCAATGATTTTGACTTTCGCCGCCGCGCCGCGGAGACCGCACCGTGTTGGACGCAATGCATGAAGTATTCACGCAGTCTTGTAGGCGCTATGCGTTTCACGCTGACCGCACTGTGTTTAACGCAATGCGTGAAGTATTCATGCATTCTTGTAGGCGCTATCCGTTTCACGCTGACCGCAATGACCGCACTGTGTTTGATGCAATGCGTGAAGTATTCGTGCAGTCTAGTAGGCGCTAATATGTGTTACATGCCGATCGCCGTGCCGAGGGCTTCTCCTTTTCATTTCAAGTCCTCGTTATCATTTCTCTCTAAGTCGCGCCGTTCTAGGCCAAATTGCGTGTTTGATTTACTCGTGACTCGACTTATTGAGGGTGCTGTCTCCTGTATCACTAAGAGACGACAAAATTAGAAATTACTATACTCTCAGGAAATGAGAGATTTTGTCGCCTTTTCTCGCTTGTAATTTTGTTTTTATAAATCCGATTTTTTTTATACCCACACTTTAATAAATTGCAAATTTTTGCCGCCCCTTAGATTTGCCGCCATGGGCCGTGGCCCATGTGGCCACCCCCTTAATCCGGCCCTGGCGATTGATGTCTTGCAAACAAATCTAGTAAAATCAAGCATTTTGTCAAATTTCTGGCAAATAGTCCAATACTTTTGCTTAGATTGACATTTTGATTCTTTCCCTTATTTTAGACAAAATAATACATTGCTCCTGTGAGAAATAATTCCCTATAAAATTGTGCATCATACAATTTTAAACGATTGTCAACCCCTGAACAAACATTCATCTTGAAGTTTTTGACATTTCATGAAAGGTAGAATTTTTCAAATTTTAACATTTAAATATATCTTCTATACTATAAGTACTAGGTATAAGCTCCGAGACCTCCTAATTTTGCGAAACTGGTAACGCTTAGTTCCAGCGTTCTACCGGGCCGATTTTCATGATTTTTGCGGCTATCGACGGGCAATTGTCTCTAGATAAGCTAACTCTTTTCAGATTTTCAAAATATGGCCCAGGTTTTTTTATATTACGTGGTAAAGTTGCGAATTCTCCCATTTAAACAATGTAAATTTATACTTTTTGTCATAGTTCGTTTGAGCGTTCTACCGGGCCGATTTCCATGATTTTTGCGTAAATCGACAGGTAATAGGCCCTAGATGAGCCCGCTGTAATCAGATTTTGGAAAAAAGACCCAGGATTTTTTTAAAATCACGTTATAAAAGTGAGTGAGTTTACAGAGTGCTCCGGTAATGCTACCGCTATGCGCGGGAGGATGCGCAGTGGTCGAGGAGGTTGCGCAGTAGCTGTGTAGCCTGCGCATCAGCTCTACACTTATTTACACAAGATTCAGAGATGAGACCTCATGTAGAGCGGTGGCCGAGTCGTCTAAGACGTCGAATGCGTCCACCTTGAAATCGGTGTGGGTTCGGTTCTCGACCCATGAAATCCTAAATATTACCTGACTATCATTGTTCAATGTTTTACTGCGATATTTCATCAGGCAGTCATTCCAAAACGCGTCCTTTTAATTTTAAAGTAATTTTAAGCAAAGTTTAAAATTAAAGTATACCTCATATAGTAATTTTTTAGGGGAAAAATAAAACTAACACTGATAGGAGGGTAAAAATAGGGCCGCGTAGCGGCCAGGGGGCGTAGCCCCCTAGTAATAAATATATAATTTGAAGAGGAAGGAAGGAGGAGTTTACATAGATTTTATGAGTTATTTTTTCCAAAATATTGGAAACTCATGAGCTCTACTTGACCATAAATTTACTGAGTTTCGCAAGTTGTCGGAATTAGACCATCTACTGAGGCATTTGACAAAATGCCTGATTTGACTAATCGCCTGCGACATATAAATTCATTGAATGTTGCTGATGTGGGGTTAACCAGAGATTGACTTTTGTCTTACATTTCACCGAATCTGCGCCCAACGAATGCCTAGATTTGTAATTCAGTTCTTTGACTCTATTTGTTCCAGAAATATTTAACTGATACTGTCGCCACTGGAGTCTTCAAAGGTGTCATGGTGGAAGGCACTAAAATTGGTGCATTCGTCTCTGCATACTTGTGAGTAATCAGTTCTTTTCCTGACAAGTGACTTACGTGTCTTAACTTATAATTTATAGAATGACCACAGAAGAGATGGGAGAAGTACCTTTGTCTCCAATGTAGGTACCATTTGAAATAGTCTTAGCATCTTACGATTCACTACAAAACATGCTCCATCACCTGTTGTGTACTCTGCTACACCTCGGACAGTCCAACTAAGCAAGCTCTCTTTACCAAGAAAGGAAAGTTGATTATTCCAATTTTGTATGCTACAATCAAGGCAAATTTTCTCTTTTTTCTAAAGCACTACTCGCGGCTGAAAGGTTTGTCTCCTTTCAAATGGTTCTTTATCAGAGCTTCAAATCATATTGATAAGTCGCTGCCTCTGAAATCATCTTCATCAAGACTTTATATTGAATTTAATCTGTGGTTGAACATGAAATTTTGTTTGTATGTGTCAGGTTGGCGTCAAATAGTTTATCGGTTTACCGAGGAAAAACGGGTATGGCAGATTTTATAGTCGGTGGCGCCTTTGCAGGTGGTGCTTTTCGATTCTGGCATGGTCCCAGGGGCTTTATCGTTGGAATAGGTCTAGGTATGTAAAAAAGTCTGCCGTTCATACCATCTTTGCCCATTAAGATTAGCCCTGCAAAAGTTGTTTCCACTAAGATAAGTAATTTATTCCGAAATATTCAATTTTAAACCTGTGTATTAAACCTGAGCGTAGTCTAACTTAGATAAAACGTGACATGAGTAGCATTTTACTATTTGTTAAGTACTGGAGGAAGCTGAAAGGATTTCTTGCATGAAGCAAGGCTTTTGGATTGGACCTCTCACCTTTTTTAAATTTTATCTAGAAACAGAAAGGTTCCAGTGGTATTCTCTAACACTATCTACCAAGCTCAAAACAAAAGCTTTCTCAGTTAAGGATGTAATCCAGAAGCTAACTTACCCTTTAAAAGAGACTGCTGCTAAATCGATGGCCTGAGTTGAAAAGTGCGTATTTTAGATTCAGACATTGTATTTCTGGGCTCATGTTCTACTTTTTACAAAGGGAGATGTAATTTTTTTTTTTTTTTTTTTTTTTTAACAAGCTTCTAATAGCCTCCATTGGCCAATCCCATGCTTACCACCAGCCCCAGGTGACGATTGGCTGAGACTATCAAACACAGGTCTTTTAGCCAGGAATCGAACCTGGGACCTCTTGGTTATATGGCCAGCGCTAAAACCACTACACTACGGGAGGCCGACGCATGATTTTATCAGCTTTTCAGCTTTTTATCAGTGGAGGATTTTTATCATGTTGAAATATTATTATTATTGTAATTCTAGGTTGAAAGTTGAAGAAGTATAAAAAATTATCTCAAGCACCATAGGCACATTGATCGTCAGTGATAAAAACCCTCCTAGTAATGTCTCAGCATATTCCTTAAATTGTGCTAGAGGATTTTATTTTCCTAAAGAAAAAAATCATTTTTCGTTCAAGATTGACATTAGAAATGGTTCATTAAAAGTTCAAGTTGCCAAGTTGTTTCTTCTAAAATTTTACAATGAATCTTAATTTTCTTTCAGGTTCTTTCTTGGGAACCATAGCTGGGGGATTGTATACTCTTATTCTAATGGCTTATGGAGTAACACCTGAGGAGGTGAAGGAGTACCAAATCTCTGCAATCAACTACCGTGAAAGGTATGAAGCACCATGATTAAAGTTACCCCTTAAACGATACTATTGCTTTAAAAATAAACAGTATTTATCTTTTATTTTATTTTAAATGAAGAATGAACAATATTTTTTTAACTTCAAAACTGAATTAAAAATGCATCATACCATACGAATGCTGTAAAGTAAAACAATTTCACAGGTTTTCTTGATGTTTTTCAAAATGTTTCCATGTTTAATCATTTCTCTTTTTAACAATCATATTGCATGTTCGGAGCACGTCACTTGTAGATGATTTTCCCTCCTATGCTCTTGAAATTTTTATGTAGGATGCTTTTTTATGAACATTATGTGAACAGTTGACAGTTTCGGAAATATTTTTATCAAGTATGAGGAACCAAACTGAGTTCGTGATGCTCATGGAAGTATCCATCGTAAAAAAAAATGCAGCTACCCAGAGAACGCTTACACTAAGTCCCGCCAAAATGAAACCAAACATGCTTCAATGTTCCATTTTAGCAGAACTGGTCCATATAGATTTTAGTTACACCTCCGCAAAGCTCAGAACTCAAAGTTGTTGCCAAATTGCCCAAATCATAGACTGACTTTGGTTTTTTTTGGGCCCCCCTTTAATTAAGACCTTTTAATTTATTCGTCCAAGTGAATATTAAGTAAGTAAGTAAGACCGGGCTCGTCGGCGAGGTGCCCTCAAGGGGCCAAGGCAACTGGCTACTGCCGTCGTGCACCATGAAGTTGGACCATGCTCCTTAACTTCGCACTATTGACGCATTGTGTAACCTCTATATTCCTGCAAGGCTCAGCGGCCGTCTGATAGCCAACGATCGGTCTTATCAAAGACTGTGGCAGACGCTGCAGAGCACAGATTTTCGGAGCATGGCCATGCCTCCACCGAGCTGGACTGTGTTGTTGCAACTCCACTGATACGTAACGCTGGCAGTCGTCCAAGTGAATATTAAACATGCATTGAATGTTACCGTACTCATTAATCTAGCCTTGCACTCAAACTGCATCATTATCTCTCGATTTTCTATTTGTTTTACCTTTTTCCATTTCTAAATTAAAAATTCTCTCATTTTTGCAGGGCCTTAAAGAAAAGTATCAAGCAGCCCTGGGATGAGTCGACACAAAACGCAATGTTAGAAAGCAGACAATATGCCAAGGAGAAAGATTTGTTTACAGCAGATCCTAAATCATGAGCTTTTTCTTAGGTAATACGTCTTATGATTGTATTTTCCTTGCTTAAATTTTTCCTGAAGTTTCTCTGGTTTTCCAAGCAATTAAAATTATCTTTTGTTGAATAATGGCCGATGATAAATATTTTCTTTGCCTAACGAGTATTGGTTGCTATTAAGTTGAACAGCTTGTAATGCAAGTTTGTCAAACTGGGTCGTGTTTAATAGATGTATTGCCCTTCCGTCATCAATCATCATCAATTAGAATGTAATATCGATCCCTAGAAATACGTTCTTCTGTAGGAGGCTGTAGTTCAGGCTCTCGAAAACATGCAGATTCTGTATAAGAGTGGTGCAAGCGCAGATTTTTTTAAATTTTTTCCTACATCATATGACATGCCTGCAATGCCTGTTTTCCCCAATGAGGTTTTTTCTACTTCTTCATTAGTCATCATGATGACTTCTTTTTTTAAAAATAAATTATCAAGTAACACAAAGAAAAAAAAATACAGTTCTGTTTGGTTTAACCTTGAGTTTAATCTTCTCAGGGCATTCCTTAAGTCTATTGACAGGTAATTTCAGTTTCACATAATGCCATAAATTATAAATAATGTTTTCTGAAGCTATACCTATCTTGATCACAGCCAAAAATTTTCTTTTCAATTTTTTACATTATAAGTAGTTTATCTGTATTAAAATATATTCCATAAATGAATTGACATCGTTGCTTTCATTAAAATAAATGATATGACTGTCAAATGAACATTACTTTTTATTGTACTACTTGCACTGCGTATCTGATCAGACTTGAGATAATTTTTCCCAGCTGTCAGCAACGTTCGGCTGATTTCATTCTCAGTATCACTAACATTTTTTCTTCCAGAAATTGCATTTGAGATCGGATTCCTAATTCTTATCGGTATAAAAGCGAAATGCAGTTCATCTAAGCTGGTCTTTCGTGGAGGAACTACATTTTCTTTGGGTGATTTGCTGGTGAAGCTCAGCTGATTAGTATCACTTCCATCGAGTAAATTATACATAGTTGTCCCCTCCACTTCTGGTGCTGCCTCGTGCTGGTTGTACCTATATTCAGTTTTTATTATATTCCCTTGCAATAATTGTAGTATACTAGAAATATCATTTATTTTGACATCCTCTGCATCTGCCCTATTATCTTCATTCCTGTTCCGGCTAATGAACCGGTTTTGTTTATTTTGATCCAAGGGAAGATTCACTGTAGTGGTTGTCTCAGGTGATAAGTCTACATTATATTCCTCTGTAATTGTACTGCTCAATACATTCGATGAAGTCCCTTTCTTCAGTAATTGAGAGTTCGATGACTGGGTTGTTGTTGCTGCTGTTGAGGGTTGACTTGTGGGGTTCTCTCTCGCGGTTGATTCTGACGGAAGTTGTTCTGGTAAGGTAGAAGGCCTCTTAGCTATTTGTGATAGGTTGTAAATATCATACATTGCCATTTCCTCATTGAATGGTGGTAAAAAATCCCCGCACTTTGGGAATCCATGGGGCACTGGTGGCATGTCTGCATCTTCGCCAATTTTGAAGACAACTGCCATGCCCATTTCCACATGGAACTCTATGTGACAGTGGAATAGCCAGTAACCTGTAATAGAAAGAAGGATTTTAGAGGCGAGAAAAGTAAAATACTAGCTTATTTTATCAGTGCAAATGCTTGTACACATTTTGAATATTCGATATCCAAGGCGGTGTCAAATGTCACAGGTTTACAAGGGGCCTCTAGACAAAGTATAAATTGAAGCATTACACAACCTGTTTTCTCTTCAAAATTTAACGAGGAAATCGAACTTTCACAACGGGAAGTCTAGAGATCAACTAATGAACAAGTTGTAAGTGTTTACAATCAACATTGGCTAATTAAAAAAATTCAAATGTCATTTGTATATTTTAACTTGCATTTGATCGGTGTTTAATAGACTTGATATCTTGTTCAGTAGTTGATGTCAAAACTTTCCATCGTGTGAATTGTTTTCTACGTACAATTTTGAAGAGAGAACAAGTGACGTTTATTTCTAACTCAGACCTTGTCTATTGACCCATTTATTTAGTTCAAAGCTTTTTTCTCCAACTTTGTTTGTTTTCCGATCTCAGGTTTTCTATTTTACTCCTCAAACTCGAAAACGTTCAATTTTTATGTTAATCTTAATATTTTCTTTATTATCTAGGTGAGTACCAAAGGAGAAAATAGTACAGAAACAAAACGAATTTCTAGACATACGAAGCTACCATTTCTTGTTAGCTGTCTAGCCTATCAGTTGTCAGCTCATCATCATCTCATATTTGATGTTAGTGATGTGCAAAACTTTTACAGCATTACTTTGTCATGCCTTCTTAACCGATGGTCCCAAATCAGACACCCCTAATTTTCCTTGCTTTCTCTTTTTGTTAAAAACATTGGTTCAAAACTCAGCTCAATTTCACTTTTAACTGAACGTTTCATCATATTACCCAGCTTTATCATCAAATTATCTCTTTTCAGAGCCATTTGAAATCCCTTAGCGCTTTTACAGCAGGTTTCGATGGCCTTAGTGCGAAACCACGCATCTCCATTGTGGTGTTCCAAAATATCTGCTCCTATTTTATTGTATCAAAGATGAACAGGCCAATTTTATTGCTTGAAATTTAAGCAGAATATTCTGCTAACAGAGAGGAAAAATCAAAGCAGTTTTCAAGAAATTATGTTCAATAGCTTTCCAAAGAAAAAAATAATGTATTACATGAATTCTGCAATGCTGCCAATGGAAACAAGTATTTTTGGACTGTGGCCATCGGTATGCTTGTAGTTCTGAGCTTAAGTTTTTTTTGTAATGCTTGGGCTACTCCCCATCCATAATAAGTAGGTGCTTAATTACTCAAATCTGTCCTTTCATTGTTCAAGTTCTTCTCTGTGTATATTTTTTGAGTTAGCCTTGTTTCTTCATGTCAGTTTGCCCATTCCCATGTTCAGTATGCTTTATTCAACTCTCATTTTTAGGTTTTTTGAGTTCATTGTAATGAATATGGCAAATATTTACCTGGATTTGTCGCGTGAAATCTAATTATTGTGTAACCTCCATCTGGAACGGTAACAGTATCCTTCAAAGGAGCAGTCTTAAGGTTTCGCTTTACCAAACCAGCGCGATCCAATGCTTGAATCTGTGGGACTGTCACATTTTTGCCCACTCTTTCCATTGCCACAACCCTGAACGGATGGCCATGCAAATGGAAGGGGTGATTTGCATCATACGCAAAACCTGCAGACCCAAGAAATTTTTGGTCAATATTGATCGTTTGCTTTAATGTGCTCATCTTAGTACAATTTAATATTCTGATTTCAAATTGAAAAGACTTACTTGTTTCGATAGTTTTTGTTGTTTAAAAGCAGTGCAAATGATTCATGTAACATTTTTTCTCATTTGTCATCTTTTCCATCAAGCAATTGAATCAATGCATGCTAAAAGGGCGTAATTCCAAAAGCTAATGAACTCTGCAAGCATCTTGCATAAGCACAAAAGCTAGGGCTCATGAGTTTTTGGACTTATGCCCTTTCAGCATTCATGAATTCAATTACACTCATTACTCTTATAAATCATTATCGTTCATACATACCTCTAGCCTATTGATTAACTAGAAAAAGTGTTTTAAATTCTTGTGGCTATATGGCTATGCGCTGAGTTATATATAAGGATGGGTATTTACTCTTTTTCATAATATTTTCTTCTTTTTCTTATGTTTCAGAAACCTCTCATAGGTGTAGGAAGACATTGTAAGAGGTACCTTTTTTACATACTCATGAATTTATGTACATTTGTCGGTTTCAAATTGTAGTTGTAAGACTGTATGTAAATAGGAACATTTTACTCAACCACACCTTGCATTGAGGATGTTCCTCATTCTTTAGAAGTTGAACCATCGTCCCTTCAGTAGCATTTTTTTCTATATATATACATAGTTTATTTCTTCACGGTACCGATCAATGTTGTCCTCTGTGATTCTTGGATGAATCGGAACAGTTGTAAGAAAGTCTGTTTTGTTATTTCTTTATTGTTTTTACATGAGTATAAAGTTTCGTAACTCAATAGCTTACATTATTAATAACTGTTCTTGTAATTTTACAAGGATCAAAGAAAACAAAAATAAAAAATTTGTTTTCAATTCCTTTTTCAAGTACTTGAACTTTCTACAGCAATAACCCTATTTCACACAACATTAAGCCCACAAATAATATATGTATGGTATGCATCTGCAAGACTGTAGGCATGCAAGAAGGGTATATTGTTTTTATAAGATCGTATTGCAACTTTTTCGCCGCCGATTTTTCACATTGTGGTGTAGTACTGGAAGAATATTAATTGGAAATTTGATGGGGACAAATTTTTTGTGCCCTGTACATTTGTCTATTTTTTTCTTCGTGTGGTCCTAATTTTAAATGAAATAATGTTCATATTCTAAACTGTTCATCAGCTGCAGCATATTCCGAACGCCAACTACAAATACTTAAAAAAATAAACATCAGATGCCATCATTTTTAGATAAAAACTACCATTCAGTAAAAGGAAAAATTTCAGATTTTTCCATTATTATAAAGTAAACTTTATACCACATAATGCAGTGTTTTCATAAAAAAAAGTGGTACACTGCTCTTTAAGTATCAGTTATCAGTACCTCCAAACATGTGACCTTCCATAGAGAAAAGGGCCTTGGTATGAAAAAAATTTAAAGTGAGCTCATTAATGCTTGAAGGAGTGTTTTTCCAACATTTTGGCATGAAAGAGATCTGAAAATTCTCAACTGAATCTGGGTCATGAAAGTTTAAAGTTCGTAGTTAAAAAAATGTATATCTTGTTTTGAGAAAAAGATATCCACCTACAGATTCAATTCATCAAATGCAGGGCTTACAATAGGGAATTTGCACGCAAATTTTTTATTGCTTCATCTGAGACTGCTTGAAGAGCTGATTTTGCAGTATTATTTTCTGATTTGTGAAATAATATAAAAAAAGTTTTAAAAGTAAGAAAATGTACCGCCTTGTGACCTCACCTGGCGGCATTTCCAATTTAGACACATGTATTTTAGCAGATTAGATCATTTTTTCATATTTTTATTAATAATTGTTCAATTTATGAAACCACAGGTATCCTCGTTTTCAGTTTGCACAGCAGTTTCTACCTAAACACGAAATTTATCAAACAGACACCTGCAAATTCTCCATTGTTGGATTATAATGCGACTTTACGCATTTCATCTGCCTTGAAAAAAAAACCAGACCGCTAGCAGCTTAATCTATGAATTACTAGAGAACGTTTTTCATCAAAAATTCTAATTCTGATCTTTCAACTCAACTTGAAAAAAATCGTCCCTCTGAGAAATCTGCTACCCTGGACAAGGGCCTCTTCTCGTATGGAGGATCACAAATTAAGAATACTGAATACACAGTTAGAAAGTTTGAATGGATCGTGTATTTTCTCTAGACTTACCTTCATCTACTAAAATTAATTCGACGACGCTAGAAAAAGGAACTTTAATGTGGTGAGTGCACTCGCAGTATTCACTTGAGCAGTTTCGAATTTTATGAGGTTCGCAAAAGGTGTCTGCCTTGATTTCATCTCTTTGAGGAAGGAGAGGAAACGACGGCAACTTCATGGAAATATGATTGATTTGCGGTGTCAGCACACGTTTCTTTTCAATCACTGCAAAGTAGAAAATTCATAATTATGTCAGTTTAATTTACTTCTCTCCACGAAAATGAACTTGATACAAGCAGGGCCGGATTTACCTATAAGGCACTGGGGCACTTGCCCATAGCGGCAAATTTTGGCACTGGATTAATTGAAAGTTAAAGCGAAAAAAAAGGAAAAAATGGAGACAGAGACGGAGCGAAGTGAAAAGATGAGCGGCAAAATGTATGAAGGAAGGGAGTTGACGCTTGACGGGAGCGGCAAAGCTGCCGCCCCTTAGGTCTAGAGTACCTGTATAGGGAGAGTACCGACAGATCGGTTCATGGAGGACTTAGGGCCCAAAAGTGCAGCCACCCTTCTAACCAACTTCTAACGCACAAAATTTCACTGCCAGTCTGCAGATTCCAATTCTAACCAAGATGGCCAAGAATGTACAGAAATGAGCGTTCTTCCGCGAAATTGAGTAAATTTATGCAAAAACTGAGTCAAACACGTGCTTAATAATAATAATAATAATATTTACAAAACACACATTATATTTTCCTTTAGAACATATTTTCTTTTTTCATCAATTAAAATGAGAATAATCCATATAGAGTGCGCAAATATTTCAAAATCATGAGTTGAAAAACGCTGACTCCGCGAGATTAAATATTAGATCCTAACACAAAGCGGAGCGGCGACGCACTGGCGCCTACAAACCTAACAGGGATACTTCACGCATTGCGTAATGCGTGAAGTATCCCTGTTAGGTTTGTAGGCGCCAATGCGCGTTCTGCGCTCTCTGCCCGCCGGCCGCGCCGCAGCGTGCCACGGCGTATGAAGCAACTATTTCACACCAGAGGTATTGCACAGTATCAAAGAAATTGAAGGCGCTCCAACATATTAAGAATGACAAGCATCCTTCAAAAGTACGGAGCTTTCCTCGCAAAATAAATCAAGATACTATGGCACAAAAAGAGAGCGGTAGTCCAAAAACTAACTAAGTCCTAGTATCCGTATTTAATAACGTTTAGCATAAACTTCATCGTCTGGCTGTTGCTTAGTCGCCATCGGCTATAAAAGGCTGTAAGAAATTATATAGCCGGCTACAGAGGCTATTGGAAATCTTACAGCCGGCTTTAGGTCTATGGTATTTTGGAACACAGATTCTACTGCAAATTTTTACCAGAGCGCCGTAAACGCCATTTCAAGTTTTTCGAAAACGAATGTATCAAAGCAGAAAAATGTGTGTACCCCGGGACAATGTTTTTACAGAATTCTTTTGCAAATATTATGAAAAACTTAACCTGAAAATTTGAGGTGCATGGGTAAAACCGTTTTTAATTTTTGAAGTGTTAAGTTTCAAAAAACGCGGGAAAATCTTGATGGATTTACGGCGTTCTTGCTTAGCACGGCAGTAATGTGGTTGGGCTGTCTCCAGTCAGAAGCAACCCGTTCACCGAAAAAGTTTACCATTACTCACCACTGTTGAATCCATAAAGGTTTTTCTTGTGGTAGTGAGGATTGTCTATACGGTAAAAGTCGTAGGCTAAGTAATGAGTAAAGTCGGCGGTATCCTTGAGTGAAGGATCCTTCTCCGATAGCGGTTCCATCGACCTCAGCTCTGCGATGTTCAGCGTTCCATTATCTTCTGATCCCTCGTTCAGTGGATTTATTTTCTGTCAATGAGAAAAAATACAAGTTATCAATGAGAATTCCCGAGGAGTGTGGCATGAAATGGAAGAAATAAATCGTTTTTGAAACTACAAAAATGCGTTTCTTGATTTTGCTGCACTGTTAAAAATCCCGGCGCGAAATTCACGCTTACTCACAATCAGTTGCTATATTTTGACCACCTGTTACTCTAAGTGCATGGATCCGGCGCGAAATAAGCTCGGCGTTCGGCGCGAATTTCTGGCGGGAGTGAAAATCTGACAGGCAAACGTAAAACGGAACTGCCGCCCCTGGTAAAAATTGGCAGTAGAATCTGTGTTCCAAAATACCATAGACCTACAGCCCACTGTAAGATTTCCAATAGCTTCTATAGCCGGCAACACAATTTCTTATAGCCTTTTCGATGGCGATTAAGCAACAGCCTGACGATAAAGTGTATGCTATCCGTTACTAATTACGGGTGCTAGGACTTAGTGAGTTTTTGGACTACCGTTCTCTTTTCGGGCCGTAGTATCTTGATTTATCTTGCGAGGAAAGCTCCGTACTTTTGAAGGATGCCTGCCATTCCTATTATGTTGGAGCGCCTTCAATTTCGTACGATACTGTGCAATACCTCTGGTGTGAAATAGTTGTTTCAAGCGCCGTGGCACGCTGCGGTGCGGCGGGCGGGCAGCCAGCGCGAAAAGCGCATTGGCGCCTACAAACCTAACAGGGATACTTCACGCATTGCGCAATGCGTGAAGTATCCCTGTTAGGTTTGTAGGCGCCAGTGCGCCGCCGCTCCGCTTTGTGTTATAGGCTCTAATATTTAATCTCGTGAAGTCAGCGTTGTTCAACTCATGACTTTGAAATGTTTGCACACTCTGTATGGATTATTCTCATTTTAATTGATGAAAACAAATATGTAGTAAAGGAAAATATATTGTGCGTTTTGTAAATATTATGGTGATTCCGTACAAACTTGCGGATTTCCAAAGCACACGAATTTCTACACTATTTCTTATAGCCTTTTATAGCCGATGGCGACAAAGCAACAGCCAGGCGATAAAGTGTAAAGCCCGGCGACAGGAACTATAGCCCGGCTGTTTAATTTTTTATCGCTTCTTGTAGCCCGGCTGTTTAATTTTTTATCGCTTCGTGTAGTCCGGCCGTATGATTTTTTCCACTTTCTACAGCCAGCTACCTACATGATTTTTTATCGCCTTCTTCAGTCGGCTATAAGAACTCCTATGGTATTTTGAAACGCAGCTCCTATCGCCAATTTTTACCAGGGGCAACATGGCTTCGAACTCGAATCGCGGCGATGAAAGACGAATGTGCTACCACTTTGCCATAAGGCGCTCGTATCAGATGGCCTTGAATTCACGCTATACTTGAGGAACCTCAATTAATTCGTCCGTCGTTGATGATATTTACGCGCTGATCTATTCACTCAAAGTACGGCGCTAAATTCGCTCTGGATTTTGTTTTCACGCCGGCTATTCACTCAGAAATCATTGATTTTTAACAGTGTGCGTCATATAAATGTTTCCTATCAGACTTCATTTGCCGAGTAGAAAACTACTCTATGTTATTTTTTGAAAAGTCCGAGGATTTTTCTTCTTCGTGTGAAGAATATTCTACAGTAATTTTAAGCCATAGTGTTGGTTTGATCTCCTAGGAAAAAATAAAATCGAAGCGGACATTTCGCACATCGATATACGCGCTTTTGCAGTTTAGTCGTCGATATGTGACCGACTCCGGAAAAAGAGACTTTCGTTCACGGAGGCAAAATTTTCAGTAGAAAAATGTGCATCGAGCGTGGTTAAAAATCGGCATTTAAGATTTCGACGACAAATCTGATTCCATTGTCTTGAAAACTCAATCTTTGCTTACGGTGAATTAAGGCCTCTTTTCCCCGAGACGCTTACATAGGTACCTAAAGAATTGGAAAATCCTGTGAAATAATTCATATTTTCATGAAGTTATAAAATGTATTAAAAATATGAAGTACTCACTTTGAAAGTCTTGGTATGGCGTTCAAACGCACTTACCCAAGAATGTCAAACATGCTGTAAGTCTCAATGTTTTCCTACTCTGCAAGGCAATAATTTTAATTCATTTGCCGAAGAAAAATTCTATATTTTATTCGATACTGCTTCAATATTTTCACTTCCCTGAATAACTGAATCAACATTGAGACAAAATTACTTTTATGAGGTAGAAAGGAATATTGATTGGATTAGGGTTGTCACATCAGTCCATACCTACTGATGCACATGACCGCTCGCAAAGTGGACTTAAAATTCTATGTCGTGCCATGAAGTGGCAGTTTATTAGCATAGTTGAAACAAACAATTTCAAGTTATTTTGTTTTTAAATTTTCCGAACAAACCTCATGAATGAGCCTCTATTGAACAACTGTGTCTGATCTCAGTTACGAGCTGAACACATCTAACCAAATCCTTATATCGCCGCGTTCGTCGCTCGAGCATGTAGGCAACAAGCACTACCTACAAGCAGGCCACGCACGGGTGGATTTACATTTCTATCCACGCGTTGAAGTCTCCGAGGTACATGCTGATTGCTGAGCCCCGTTGCGCAAAACAAGTCATACCGCCCGCGCTAGTAGATCTGATCTCAACCGTAGTTCCATTTCAAAATGCCTTTTAGGATTCGGAGAGGGTATAAGAGATTAGAATGACTATCCTCAAATAAGAGAAAGACTTTGTAAAGAATGCCCACAAAAATAACAAAATTTAAAGAAAGGAGAAATCTTAAATCGCCTCGCCAAGAACGTGATTTACGTAGATGCAGTGGAATGCTTGGATACTGCCATGCTAAGAAAAACCATCGTATGAGTATAATGTTGCCCCCCCCCCCAAAAAAAAGAAGAAAAATATTACTTTTAAGGAAAATTGTGAATATTTGTCACTTTTTTAGATACCTTTAGACCAAATTGGTCCACTTATTCTTACCAGAGCCAATTTTTCTTCATGCATTCCATCCCAAGCAGCACAGGCAGATTGCAATGAATTGCGATTACATGGTAAAATTATTGCTACTGCATCGAAGTGTTATGTATGTTGCCTATTTACCAACTGAGGGAGCACGGTTTTTTTTAAATGGATTGCAATAAAATTGCCATGCAGATTGCCTATCTTTTCTGACACACGTATAACTCCTTCGGTTGATGTTGAATGTTTCGAATCGGCCTTTAATGATCAAATGATGTAAAAATATTGCAATTTCATGGTAAAAAAAAAAATGAAATTTTATTTCAATATTTTCATTGCACCGTGCTAATTCGAATTGCTTAATCTGCAACGATGCAGTTGGTTTCCTACATAGATGCAAGGGTTGCACTAATACGCAGTCATGTCACTCTGACTTACTTCCAAGTTAGTCCGAGTATGAGCATGTGACGCCGCGGTTCATCGCCCGTTCGTGTTTAAAAAATAAAATGAATGTTTATCATTGCACAACGCAACCGCTCCTCGTGCTCATTGTGTTTACATCAATATCGGCTTTGCCCAAATTCTAACAGGTTATGGGCCCAGACTTAGGTTCAAAAAGTTTAAAAAAAATGGATTCTTACCATCCCAGGATTGAAGCTGTTGCTGTAAACAACCTGTCCTTCCGGCTCCTCGACGGTGGGATCGGGTGCGCCTTCATAATGCAAGATAGCAACTTGGTATGCAGACGTGAATCTTTGATCGCAATCCATCAAGCCGCGGTACCGGATCCAGTAGTTCTTCACTTCACCGCTAGGGTGGACGGTGAAATCCCATCGCTCACCTGCGTAGCTGACCAGTGAGGTTGCTGTTCAAGAAATTAACGAATATTATCATGAAAAACTTCGAATGTGATTAAGAATATCTCATGGCTTCCAAGTAACCAGACGTTAAAGCCCGTGTCCCACTATCAAATGAACTCATCAAATACAAGATGGCGCAGATGCGTATTGGTTTTCGCGCAAGTCCGTTATCAAAAGGTAGCAGGCCGTCAAATGTTGATGAACTCCGCCATCTTGCATTTGATGAGTTCATTTGATAGTGGGCCACGGGCTTTAGGAAGTCTCGGGGTTTTCATAATTTTTTTCACGTATAGGACAGACAGCACTTAGAAAATGTACATAATGTACACTTTCAAATGTACGAATGTAATACGTACACATTCAGTGGCGGGTTTTTTTTTTTGGGGGGGGGGGCATCTCAGAGGGCCCGATCAAAATTAAGGTGGATCAAACTTGCCGAAAAATCGTGATTTTTTTTGAAGCCTTTATTCATTGGTTGTGAATCATAGCGCGTGAAAAGCCGTTACGCAAACGGAAAAGGAACAAGCAACAATTTTTTCGGAGTATTAGAGATTGAATTTGGTATCACGTTTTTCTAACGAGCAAAAAAGGGAGAAGAAGAAGGTCATTTGCAGCTCTCAAGGTTTTGATGAAGTGACGCCACTGTACACATTGAAAATAGAAAAATTAACCATACTTTTGCATAGTACTACAAGTATGGTATAATCAACAATAAAATATGGGTAGCATGTACCGTATACTGTACGGTGGATTATATCCTACCACAGAGTTGACTTCAAAAATCAGAATGGAAATGCGACAAGAAGTCTTTTGTTGAATCACTCCATGCTTGTAATAATGTGTTAGCGTAGGTAAAGTTCAATCGACTTCTCTCAGTGTAATTTTTTCAACAGTTGACGCAGAACACAGTTCACCTTTTGGAAGTTCAAAAATTAGCTCTTAAAATATAAATATCTTAACAAACTCAGCTACGTTGCTTTTCCATTTTTACTTTTATTTTTTTTCTTTTCGAAAAAACCAATTTTGCTCCTACGGTGGATGAAAAAATAGCAATGTCTTTTTGTTTATTTCGTGACGTGCTGAAGACGTGAAAAAAATTTGAAAGCACAAATGAAAGTTGAAAGAGGCGACATTTTTACACTCTTTCGGCGAATAACTCGTTCTGGTGTAGTTGGGCGAAAATTTTGTCGAGGTTTCCGTGTATAAAGCTAGTTCTACCGGCGAATTCCATTCGTTCATTCATTTTTTTGCCAGGAAATATCCAAACCAATTTTCATATTTAATGAATTGCTAGTTATTTCCTTGCTCCTCATTCAGCGGAATGACAAGGAGCAATCACTGAAGTAAATTTAGCAAAGTTAAACTGAAATTAAAAATCCTCCGTAACTCACCTTCTTCCGGTTCGATGTCACCGCCGTCACTATTGATGACAGTGATTGTGTGATTATCAATAGACATTTCGATTGGGCAGTTGAGGAATCCTGCATTTATCAATCGGAATCTGTATTTTTCACCCTGTAATCATCGTTCAAAAACACAATCATTTTTATAGCTGTATATCAGAAAAGAGTTTCCATCAAGATTCATTTGGACTACATTTTGCAATTAGGAGCAAAAATTTCCCGTTCGTCCGCAAGAGCAGTTGTTTGTGTATAAGAAAACGAATGGCGCATACGTTGTTTCTAAACTGAGCCAGGAATTGTATAACGTCCCGCATTGCAAAATGAGGTCCATTTGATCTTACGGAGTCGTCCGTTAAGTACGTAACAAACCGGTAGCGGATTTGCGCTGTTACGAAGGAGAATGGAGATGTTAATCAGATTGTTACCCACGTATTTATTAAAATAAATAATAATTAATTTATAATAATGAATAACTTTAATTCATCAATAATTAAATTATTTATTTACACCGAGGCGAGCGGAAACGTGCACATCGAAACTCGCCGCGCCGCGAGGACAAGAAATTCAAAACGCCTTCAATTTTTGGATAGGCAACACGGACATCCTTCGAACACGAATAGTTGTATCACGGCGCTATCATCGATATCGCATAGGCGCAGTCGCCGCGTCTATCAGCAAAAATATCTGTAAGCTGTATCGACAAGACGCCACCATATACTGTTATTTTGTCGATCAATGTTACATTCAAAACCTTATCTACTTTTTTAGTGATCGATGCTCGTAGTGAAAGCGCCTTAATCTATTTCCGTTTGTAAGGGGAACCTGAGGCTCTTTCTTTTTAACTCTATAGAATTATATTGAACAACATGTTTTTGGGGAAAGTTTTGGCTCATTCATAAAAACACCTATCTGCATGGGGGGGGGGGGGGCATCGAAGTGAGAGAGGAAGAGGAAGAACAGGAAGCAGAGGAGGAAGAAGAAAAGGTAAAAATAGAAACGGAGGTGGAGAACTAAAAAAAAGAGGAAGAATAGGAAAAAGAGAATGAGAAATAGGAAAAATATCCCATATCGCCGATAAAGAAAAGGAAGGAGAGTAGAAAAAAGATGAAGAAGATAGGAAAGAAGAGAATAAAGAATCAGCAATTGAAAGAGGCAACAAAAAGTAAAAGAAAAAAGAGGAGGAAAAAGTAAAGCAAGTGGAGGAAGAATGAGAGAGAAAAAATGAAAAGTAAGGAGAGGAAGGAGGAAGAGGAGGAGGAGATGAGGAAGAAGAACAAGTTGGAAAAGCATTTGTCCGAGGAGTAACATTAATAGCACATACGTTGTTTCTAAAAGAGCTTTAAATATTACTTCCTAATTGGACTACATTTTACAATTAAAAACTACAATTTTGGAGAGAAAAACGCTTATTTGCTCAAAGAAACTAATACGTCACACGTTCATGCGTTGTATCTAAACCGAACCAGAATTTGTAGTTCCTAATTGCAAAATGCACACTGGATCTAGAGTCCAGACTCTTGAAAACATTGACAAGAAAAAGGGCTCTTGATTCAATCAGATTTAAGCTTAAATCAAAAAGAAATCCGCTCAAATTAAAAGACTCGGTTCTTGATTTAAGCTTAAATCTGATCGAATCAAGAGTATTTTTTCTTGTCGATGTTTTTAGGAGTCTGGACTCTAGATCCAATGAGTTTTTTTCCAGTGCGACTACTTTTCTACTCATGCGTTCAAGTCTCCATGCCTCGCGGCAGATGATACAGTTTTTGTGACTCACAAAATTGGGCAACCCTTGGAAACTCTTGATTTTTAAAGTGGAGGCGTCAGGGGAGGGGGGAGGGGATTTACACTTCTCCCTTCCCCTTTCCCTGCATTATTAAATTGAATGTTGTTTAAATGATTACATATTTAAGTTTAATGTTTAATTTAATGTTAATGATTTAAGCTTAAATCAAAAAGAAATCCGCTCAAATTAAGAGGCTTGGCTCTTGATTTAAGCTTAAATCTGATTGAATCAAGAGTATATTTTCTTGTCGATGTTTTTAAGAGTCTGGGCTCTATATCCAATGTGTTTTTTTTCCAGTGCAGTAAAAATATCCGTAACAAACTTACTTTTTTCACGTTGAAAATCGCTAGAGGCGTCTTGAGAGCCTCGTGAGCGTTATCACCCTTGTAGCGTCCTTTGCCGTTGACGAGGATGTTGTTGGGTTTGTTGGTGCCGTTGCTGTGGTGGTGCTCGAGGAAAGTGGCCGTTCCCATCTGGTGATGCCAGTCCATGACGGTCATGACGTGTTCGGGCAGGTCGTGGTCGTAGAGCCTCCTGTGCGGGTCCTCGCTCCTCGGACGTCGGATGATCAGACCCCCGAACATGCCGTCCCCTCTCTGAGATCCTGTCCACAAAATGCATTTATAAGTATTTCTTATTCCTCTCATACAGAGAAAAAAGGAGGTGTTGCATCTTCAGGATTGTTTGCGTAGGTCGATTGAGGACGTAGGTCGGTATACAACCTGGCCAGCAAAATCCGGAATTCGAAGTGTAAAAAACGGACCATAACGTCCGATTTTTTTGCTTTGATCAACTCGTGATAAAATTTCAAACACTTTCTACAGAATGCCCCCGAACATGCCGTAACACTTTCTATAGAATGCCCCCGAACATGCCGTCCCCTCTCTGAGATCCTGTCCACAAAATGCATTTATAAGTATTTCTTATTCCACTCATACAGAGAAAAAAGGAGGTATTGCATCTTGAGGATTGTTTACTTCGTGACGTAGGTCGGTATACAACCTGGCCAGCAAAATCTGGAATTCGAAGTGTGAAAAACGGACCATAACGTCCGATTTTTTTGCTTTAATTAACTCGAGATATAATTTCAAACACTTCCTACAGAATGAATTTTTTCCATAAACTACACCATTTCCAAGAAAATCGATGATGAAACTCGCCTGTACCAACCTCTACGTCATCAAAAAAAATCCAAGATGCACGAGATACAAACACCTCCTTTTTTCTCTCTATACATTCCTCTCGCTAGAAGCTAGGGGCTCGGAGGACAAGGTGTTTGTGTGGTTTTTGAATAAATTGAGATATTTGTGATTTCAATGAATGGAAGTCTTAAAATGAAGGGCGTGGGTTCGATCGATCCACGGGTTTATCGATAGATTCATGGGTTTGTTGATAGAGTTACGGGTTTGTCGATCGATTCATGTTATTTTTCTCCGATCTATTCATGCCAATTGAATGCATACCCACCTCTGAAAATACATTTCTTATGAAAAATTCACTATTAAAATCCAATCCTAAGGTATCAAAATGTGCGTTTGGTTAGATTTTTTCCCAATATGCGACGTGACGTGGTGCCTGATGCTCTCTGATCAAAATCATGCCTGTCACGGCCAGCGGCCACCGCATAGAATGGGTGTTGTGTATGTTGCCTACCTTCTATTTGAAGGCGCTTCGCTCAGTGAGATTTATTACAATTAACTATGAAATAAGTTGCATATCTCATTTTTGCATCGCAAATCGCATATCTTTATTTTTGATCATTTGGTCGTTTAGAGTCGGCATTCTTTGACCAATGGCAGTAAAAATATTACAATTTCATGGAATTCAATCGCAACTTAATTTCAATATTTCCGTTGCACTGTGCCTCTTGGGTAATTCATGATCTTAGACAGCGTTTAACATTGAAAAATGTTAAGCAAACTCTTTGACTCGAAATAGATTTTTTTTTTGCCGTATACTGAACAATATAGACAGTAAAACTGCAAAAATAGTGTATTTCCTTCAGAAAATACACTAAAACGCGAATCTTGGTCTGCGACGCGGCAAAATTCCCGTCATTTATTTCTTAAATGAAAAGTAACACACGTCATTTCCTAAAAACTTCCTTGATTCTTCCTCTCTGTGTGGAGAATACTCTGTGAAAATTTCTGAATATATAGTTCTATAGTTCTTCCTCCATTCATAAAATATGTTGAACGGGATCAGAAACTTTGAACCATGACGACCAAACACGCGTTTTTCCAGTGTGTTGCTGATGGTATAAGTTTCCACCTCAGGGGCTCTTTCGCCGTGAACTCCATTATAATTAGAGATTTAATTGACAGGAAAAAGTGAACGTTTCCTCGTGAAAATTAGCGGGATTTTTGACCCTTAGAGCGCGGGAATAGAAATTTATGCAAATTAATTAGGTACACACAGTGCCCTCCTCGCCACGGATGGATGCGAATCGACTGTTTCATCACTTTCCAAGGGAACACACCGTCGCTCCTCCGACGTAAAGGCGTGTCTCGATTTCCACATGAGCTACAAAGAGCATGGATTTACATGTAAAACAGGGCTCACGTGTAAATTGAGATACGCCCTTACGTCAGAGGGGCGACAACACGTGTTGAGCCCCGCGATTCGTACGTCACGTGCTTTTGCACGGGAGCCTTCACATTGAAATACGAGCCCATCGTATAATTTTATTGCACAAGAGTAATGGCAGTAAATTTAGTGGCTCCACTGGTGCTGATAACTGGTCTACCTTTATGTAAGAAACATTGTAATTCAGGTGCGGACTAGCCCTCCGAGACGCTAAGAAATACCTCGATGCACCTTTGCCCCTAGGCGCCTGCAGGACCTGAATGATGACGAAACTTAGAGACCAGATGCCTCCGTTTGCGACATCGTTATACAGTTTCATAAGTATATTTCATTTCCTCCTTGGGAAACCGATTTTTGGAATTTTCCATGGTATTTCTTTTCCGATGAAAGAATTTTTTGCGAAAATTCAAGGAGCGATTTTGGCTCGTTGGAAAACATTTAGAAGCGGAAATTTTGGTCTACAGAAATTTGGATATATGGTTTCCAAATTTCTTCTCCTTCTCCTTCTTATTCTTATTCTACGTTTTACTCTTCTTCTTCTTCACAATACTAAGGCATATAACCTGTTTGTCCAGTCATACAGGGTACGTATACTGCCGTGCTTAGGAAAAACGCCGTATGAACATTTAATAGACGCCAAATGTCCTCCTATAAAACATTAATTTTTGAGGAAATTTGTGAGTCTTTTTCTCGGAAATTTTCAGTTATTCAAAATCAAATTGCAGACCAAATTCTCAAACAAATCTGGTGAACAATTTTGAAAAGTTTGTTAGAAAATTAGGGGTTTTTAAAGGACATTAGGTAACGTCTGAAGGCTCATACGGCGTTCTCCCTTAGCACGATAGTATAGAACTTCACTTTTTACTCGGAAAACCAATCAACATAATTTATCCGCCTCTACGTTTTTCTCTCTCCTATAAAAAAATATTCCGTCAAAATATGCCAGGCGTTAAATTCGGCCCGTTAACCAGCAGAGCAAAAAATTTAGAAGCAATATATTTTGCACCTTAAAAATCGTGATACATGATTAACAAGTTTCTTTTCTCTTGTTCTTCTCCAAATTCTTTCTACAACTAGGACACAAGCCCTGTTTGTCTAGCCACCACTGGACCAGGCACGCAAGAAACTTTCCTTTTTTACTCAGAAAACTAATCAACATAAATTGAGCTGGATATTCCCTGCAGCGTTCGACCACGCCCCCGTCCCCCTTTCGACTTTTTAAGTTCCAAATTAATTCGGCTGCTCTCAGATAAAAAATAATTTCAGTGGTTGACTGATTGTGATTGCCTCCATCATGCTCAGGCTCATCGCGGGAGGGGATGGGAGCACTTTTTTGCCGTGCTAAGGAAAAACGCCTTAATTCGCCGAATTTTCTCTCATAAAAGATTTATTTTTAAAGGAAGTCATGAATGTTCTCCTTAAAATTTTCAGACACTTTAGATCAAACTTAAACAAAATTCTGTGGAAAATCGAAAGAAAAATATTTACATGGCCGAAATGTGAAACCACTTATCTCCATTGCGCTGTTCCAAAATTCCTGCTTCTGTTTCATTATTTCAAAGAGAAACAAGCAAACTTTTAAGCTTGTACAGAATCCCGTTGAATTCAATCGAGGTTTGCGAAAATATTCCCTTTCATGATGCTATGTTAAGGATACCCCCGAACCTCCTGTCATCGTAATGTAAACCATAAGGGGCCTCCTATACGGAAAAGACTTCTTTAAAGAACAACTGGACTTCATTCAGTAATTAGGAACTACAATCTCTGGCTCAGTGGTAAAAATACGAATGTGCATAGCTGCCGTAAGGAAGAGCGCCGTATGAGCCTTTAGACGTTGCCAAGTTTCCTCCGATAAAAACCTAATTTACTGGGAAAATTGTGAATATTATTCTCCAAAATTTTCAGACAATTTTTAACACAATTTAATCTAAAACATCTGAAACTTTCGAGGAAAAATACGCATACATGTTGTCAAAAATACATGTTTCATCAAGGAAAGTTTGGCAACTCTTGAATGTTCATACGGCGTTCTTCCTTAGCACGGCAGATAGGGAAACTAATGGTGCGTACATAGTTAAAATACACGTTTTATCAAGGAAGTTTGGCAACTCTCGAATGTTCATACGGCGTTCTTCCTTAGCATGGCAGATAGGGGAACTAATGGTGCCTACATAGTTTCAAACTGAGCCAGAAATTGTAGTATACTTCTAAACAGTAGTCAAACTATGAATATGATCCTGAACCTTCAGCCGATTTTGGGTGGTCTGCGTCGAAAAAGCATACCCTCGTTTCACTTCCCTTAATATCTACCCTGATTTGAAAGGGAAAAATAAGACTTACCACTGTGCGAGTGCCAGAAATGAGTGCCAGGGGTGGAGGCGAGGAAGACGTACTTAAATCGAGATCTTGGCTGGATGGGGCACTGGGTAACGAAAGGGACGCCGTCCATGTAAGGGGACTCCCTTTGGTGAAGACCATGCCAATGAATACTCGTTGTTTCCTCTGGCAAGTGGTTATGCACGATAATTTCCACCATATCACCTACACACGCCTGCAAAAAGTCAATGCGGATATTGTTGGAGACGTTCTTATACACTGTATGAGGGCCAATGTAGCAGTTTTGAGAGGCAGCTTCATCGCAGTGAATGATGAGTGGATAGCGATTTAGCTCTCAAAAAGGACTCCACGATCAAACTGGGGGTTTAAAGGGGGTCATTGAACATCGATACCTTTTCTAGCCCTCTCACTGGCCAGCGATACGAGTTAAAGTAACGGATAAGCCTTTTTGAAGCCTCTAGTTCCCAGACCCTTTCCAGGTAAAAATTCCATCGTCAACATTTTGAATATTGGATACTGATGCTTAAATGCGACTTATCGCATTTTGAAATTTCTTTTGTCGACAATTATTCTACAAAAGGCGGGGTATTGATAAGGGTCTTTAAGGCCCACCTTAGATTTCCTTAAATCTTTACGAATTTTGGCTCATTAAAGGTCTTTTTTTTTCGGAATGCATCATGATTTGGTCATTTTAGGTGCCCTTTATGATCTAATTTTGGCCTAAATGTGGGTCTGAAGGCCAGTTTGGGCGGAAAATGCGGGTTTTGCGAGTTCACGGTCATATGCAGCCGGCAGAATGCGGTCGGCAGGCTGCCGTATTTCGGCTGAAAATGTAGAGAAAGCAGAATCGATGTGATCGCACACCGGTGCGATATTTTGCCTTCAATTTTCGAGGTAGGCCAGCTAACATCCTCCATGCTTTAAAAGTCTTTTATTCGAGGATTTCCTGTGGCTGCGAATATTGTCTGGTGGTAAATGTACCAACATACTGCCTTTAGCAGAGGTCGAACTCCTAACAGTTTCTAAGTCACTAACGTTTTTTTCCTTTTCCTTTTCATTTTTTTTTCAAGTTTGCATGAATTTTTTAAATAATGTAAAATAATAATTTACTCTAAAAATTCATCGGGGAAGCACCGTTTTCCTGGAGGATGTACTTGCACATGAAGAAAACTCCTCAGTGAAATGGGCACGTGATATTTTCAACAATTTCGAAATTGATATATTCAATACTTAAAAAGAGTAGGAGCGTACCTGGACCATAGGACCCGGGAATATTTTATTAACTGTGACGATTGGTCTCTCAACCCCATCTAACGGTATGCACTCCGGGCGAGAACAGTCTGTAATATTTTTCGGACAGTTGTAGCAAGCCTTGCTCATACTTTCGTACCACTGTACGTGAAAATCGTACTGACACCATCTGGCAGGAGCGCCAGCCACGCAATTCCTATCACATGGATGAAAATCCATCTCTGTAACAAGGAGAAGAAACAATGTTTAACATTCCAGTTAACTGTCAAAAAAATTTTATTCTTGTAGTATAAACGCCAAATAAGTTTAATAACATTTTTAGAATGCGGCAAAAGATTAACGTAGAGTGGCCACAATCAGGGAAAAAGGGAAAAATTACCCAAAAATAGGGGAATATTGCATTCATAAATGGGGGTATTTTAACGTGTTGTGTCTTGTGGCTAAATAATCAGAAATTTCTGTTGCCATTCTGCAATGCCGTCTTGGTTACACTTAGTGGACAAAAATATTTATCGCGATACTGCATGCAATAATTTTAATCCAAAAGTAACCAAATTAAAGTTTTCACCCTCACCTATTGAACGGACAGAGCCTGCTAGTTGCAGGAGGCAAAGTGTAATCCATTTTGTGCTAACTCCCTCCATACTTTTCCATTTGATCTGAAAAAAAAAAACAAACAAGACGCATAATTAGAGTAGAGAAAGAATTTCTTGTGGAGATTCCACACCACCAATAAGGTTAAAAATGAGTTATTTTTCAGGGCGTAAGACATTTTTTGAAGCGAAAATGTATGGAACCGATTGAAAAAATTGCATTGTTGTGTTGGAAAAACAACATTCTTGGTCGAACCTAGCCGTTAAGGTGTTGCATACATATGAATTTGAAGGCGATTTGTGGACGGACGCCGCGAAATATAATACTCTCTCGGGTCTCCGTAAGACGAGTGTAAGTCCAAAAACTCATGAGCCTTGGCGTCCTGCGTGATCAACGATAGCCAGGTCTCATAACCCATCTAACAGAAACCGATTTAATTCAGGATTGTTAATAAGGCATTAACGCTCAAGTTTACGCTTTTACTTGCATTGTAGGGTATGGACAGCGTTTAGCGAGTCAACTCGATTCAAAGGGGTGAAAGAAAAAGGGGATAATCGTATTGCAGCGACGCAAAGTTTTATTTGATACTTTATCTCAGGAACGTTTGCAAATTTCTTTTCGACTTTTGATGTAATTTTTCTTTGCGATTCGAGGAAAATTTGTCCCATTTCCTGTTGTGAAGCACGCACTCATTAATCAATAAAAAAAAATACCTGTACTGTCAGATGAAACTTAAAACGCTGGATTGTAATTAAATCCCAGCTCTTACCCCTTCATTAATAGGTAAGTCATTTATTTCGTAATGGAGACTTTTCAGGTGTCAGGGCCGGATTAAGGGTGGCCACATGGGCCGCGGCCCATGGCGGCAAAATTAGGGGGCGGCATAGTTTGCAATTTTTAAATGCAGGTACAAAAAAATCGGATTCAGAAAAAAATTACAAACAAGAAAAGGTGACAGAATATCTAATTTCTTGAGAGTTCATTAATTTCCAATTTTGTCGTATTTCGGTGATATACAAAAGACTGCGCACATTTAATTAGTTGAGTTAAGAGAGAAACCAAACACGTAATTTGGCCTGGAGCGGCGCGGCGCAAAGAGAAATGATGACGAGGACTTGAGATGAAAAGGAGAAGCCCTCGACGCGGCGCGGCGGTCGGCATGTAACACATATTAGCGCCTACGAGACTGCATGAATACTTCACGCATTGCGTCAAACACAGTACGGTTAATAGCGGTCGGCGCGGCGTGAAACGCACAGTGCCTACAAGCCTACATGAATACTTCACGCATTGCGCCAAACACAGTGTGGTCAGCGCGGCACGGCGGCTGAAGTTAAAATTATTAAACCACATTTATGTTTGTTCTTTCTTAATTTTTTAGTTCATTTCTTACAAATGAAAGGCCGTGTCCCCACAGAGATAGGTTTACGGAACTGAACTTTCGCGCGAAGTTCCTTGAACTTTTGCTAGTAGTGTTGACAGGGCTTACGCAAAAAATGTGTCCAACACGAGTGAACGCGTCTTATGCACCCTTCTCCCTCCGGCACGTTTACTTGATGGTTTTTATTGATGTTTCAAAATGAATGAGAAGAGGGCGGCAAAATACAGGCGGCTCATGGGCGGCACATAGGTAAATCCGGCCATGGCAAGTGTCTGAAATTTTATGAATTTCATGTCTTCAGAAGAAATCCGAACATGAGAATATCCTTGGTTTCTATAAGGAACAACTATGAAACGAGATATGACCAAATGACCTAATCTGCTAAAATACACGGGTTTAAATAGAAAATACCGCCTGATGACACCACAAGGCGGCAGATTTTCTCACTTTGAAATCCATTCTTCTACAATTTCCCATATCGGAAAAAGATTATGAAAAATACTGCGAACGTAGCTTATTAAGCACGAAAAGATCCAGCGATACAATTTTTTCGTGCGAATTCTCCGATGAAAGCGAGGAATTCAGTTCAGCCGAAAAATCACTCTCTATTCAAAGAATTCCGTTGTTGGATCCTTTTAGTTTTCAGAAAAAGTGCCGTATGAGAAAATTCTCACAGGATCGGTTAAGTGTTCATTAAACCAACATTTCGTTCTTCTGTGACGTCGTGGGAAAAACGGTCCTCATAAAACCTGAGCTTTTCTCGCGCAATCAAATCGGTCTCGCTCTGAAATTCCTAGACGAAATTCCGCACTGGAGGCGTAAATTGTGAAAAATTTCTTCACGCGCGTTTGGTTAACTACGTGACGGTCCCAACGGAGAGTTACTGCGTCCATAAACGGACAAAGCTTGAACTTTTTCTGTTTCACTATATTAGTGAACAGCGGCCACGGATTGCGCCAGGAGGAAGGAAATTAGCCGATTTAGATAAGGCAACTGTGCTTCACCTGGCGTAAATCTAGTGAATGGACTTTTGAACGTGTTAAAGAGCGCTTTCACTACGGGAGCGGATAATCGCAATACGACCGACGGATGCACGTCAACTAATTGGTAAACAATGGATTGTTTTGCTTTAGACGGTCAAGTTCACTCTCCGGGCTAAAATTCTAACATTCCGAAAGTAAATTTTAAAACTCGAGAGACAATAAGTAATTCTTGTCTCCTCAAAATTGAATAGCTTCACTAAAAAAAGGGAGATGATTTGGACCGCGTTTAGTAGTGAAGAACCACACCATATCAGCTATTGCTAAAAACTGGGCGATTTAATTTTTTATAAGAGAACATTTGTGCGGATGTCTTTGAAAATTTCAAGGAATTTGCTTTGTACTGTGCAGAAAATTCACTGAAATTTGCTCAAAAATCGGCACTCCAGTTTTCATACAGAAAATACAGAAATGAATTGCGCAATTGAATATGGCAATAACTGGCATGACTAGGTTCCTTTCTGCTTATCGTGGTCCATTTGAGGTACCTACAGTGATAAGTAAGAATAGGACGGCCAAAGTGCGAGACCACGTACCTCCGTTGCGCTGTTCCAAAAAAATCCGCTATTATTTTATTTATGTTTTGATGAGAAACGTGCCAATTTTCAAGCGTCTTCATACAGAATATTCTGATAACAGCGAAGAAAAATCAGGGAACTTTTTACGCTCAATAATTTTTAACGGAAAAATATAAAAGTTTGACAGGAAATCTGCAACGTCGCAAATGAAGGTACGTGGTTTGGCACTTTAGCCATCCATATCAATGGCAAAAGTGCGAAACCATGTATCTCCATCGCGCGGCGTTTCAAAATGGCCATTGTAATTTAATTTTGTCTAAAACAAACAATCCAACTTTACTGCTCGAAATTTATTCCGAATATTCTGATAGCAGAGAAGAAAAACTTTTTCAAGAAATTGCAATGACCAGTTATTCTGAGAAAAAATAAGGAACGACAGGGACTCTGCAACATCGCTAACGGAGATACGTGGTTTCGCAGTTTGTATCGATGTTGCCATCGATATATAGTAATCCCCAACAAACTTTTAATGCAGAGTTGTGAACAATAGAGTTTCGAATATTCGTTTACTTATATCGTCATTTTTCCAATCTAAGTCTATTTCATAACGATCCTGTTACTATTGACTGTTTCCATACTGGAAGTGGAATCGGCTCGATCAGACCCCAGCCAACTAGATCAGGCTAAACCAGCTCAGTCTCTCAGACTTCGCGCTTCCAGAGCGAATTAAGTGTCTCACTTCCGGTCAGTAATCGAGACATAGGTCATAAAAAGGACAGAACTATGAAAAATTCCAACGCATGAGGGTGTATTTGTGTGCGTTAATTTTGTGTGTTAAGCACGCGCACAAGTCCTCAGTCAATTCGTGTGATCATCTCACGGTATCCACCAATCAAAATACTAAGCTCACACTAAAAGTTGGAACATGGGGGCAGGGGGCAGGGGGCATGGGCGGAACCAGGAAGAAGCTAGAGGGACCGGCGCTGCCCCTCGATAATCAAATTAGTATCCCCCACAAAATTTGGGGGTTTTTGCTGAGTATAGGTGTGTAACAAAGTTATCCTCCCTGAAAGTGTATTTCAATCAATGTTTTTATAAGAGTAGCTCAAAATTTCTTTTAATACGACTCGATTCTTTAAAAAAAATTCTTGGAAGGCGAATCTTCCATTTTGAGCTGAGGAAAACTCCCAGAGATTCCATCCATGGGATGAATTTTTGTGCCCACTAGACTCCTCTTGATGAGGTGCCCCTCTGCTACCACAAAAATTTCCTACTTTCCATGTGCGCTGGGGGGGGGGGGGGGGGGCTTCAGAAAGGTTGAGAAGTGAGTACACTAGGACATGTTTTCTTATCAGTTTTGCGTCTTATACGGTGAAAATTTTAACATTAAATTTGTGAGCGAGAAATCAGCGTTTTCCTTATTCGCCAGTTCAAATCACCTGCGTGCCAAAAAAAGCTCATTTGAGTTAAGTAAAGCGCTGAGCTAATTTAACGAATTCCTCACGAAAAACTCTTAATTACTTTATGACTCCAGTTTAAATGGCAGAATGAGGAGCTGTATTTGGGCGAGAAATTCCAATGATTCCGGAGCATTCATCACTGAATACATAGCTACGTCCAGTCAATATATCATATTTCCTAATGTGACTTTTCTGGTGGTGTTGAACTGGACGTTCGTGTCTGAGAGAAGTATGTGAAAATAAATTGAGTTAAAGGAACCATAGAGTCTCGATTATCCATCATTCGTTTAGATAATACGCAACGCCGCAAAATTTGCATTTACTACTATTGATAATGGTGGGTAATATTTTGAAATTATTGAGTTAAAAAAAAAAAAAACAACTTGAATCGATCCTTTTTTCTATTTTCTGAGGTACGATAGTTTTATTAGTTGATGTTACTCGGGGATTAAGACTGTTTTTGACAATACGATCTAGTGATCATGATACAGCTGAGAGTCTATACAGGATGTTCTAGACCACCCAGGACGGGCTTGGCTTTCGCCAAAGCAAGTTTGCAGCGGCGGAAAACGCCATATGAAGCTCCAGACGTTGCTAAATTTCTTCTGATAGAACATTGTCTTTGAGGAAAGTTATGAACCTAACTTTTTTTACCTTTGTTTCCTT